TTACTTTTGATCTCTTCGTCTTGTTATCATCTCTTCTGAATTTTTTTTAAAAAAAGGAATAATAATTTCTTCACTATAGTGACATGTGTACTAATTAAAAATAATAAACACAAAAGCTTTTTATAAACTAGATGGGAACTGGATTTTGATAAATTATTTTTGTTCAAGGTTGTACTGTTTCCTCTCTTTCACTTTCCTTTGAATTTCCATTTTTAATTCTTTAATGATTCTCTAAGGCTAGAGAAAAAGAAATACTAAATTCTCTCAATGGAAGCCTCCAAGAGAGATGAGGAGACTCTGAAGAAGGGGATGAAGGAGAAACAATTACAGGGTCTGGCAAACCCAGGGCTGCTCTGAAGCCCTGGGGACCTTTTCTCCCAGTGGGTGGAGGCTGCAATTGGAACATCCTAACCTTTCTTTCTTAACCAGAGAGAAAACAGGAGACTGTACCTAAATTCTCAAACTGGAACTAATTGATTTTCAACTAATCTAAGCCTCTAAGTATGAAGAAACTAGGACCAAAGGCAGACCCCAGGAAGGGTGGGGGTAGTAGGGAGAGAGGTGCCCAGACAGCCTGGGGCTAAAGAGACCACAGAATTAAAGAGGAAGGACCAAAGAATGCTGGGGGTGGGGTGAGAAGAGAGAAGAGAAAAGGGAAGGAGCTGGAGGTGATGGTGGGGGACTCCCAAATCCTTCCAGGCCTTGTCTTCAGATGTTATTCCCATTGTTATTTCTCATTAAACTTTTGAAATTGGCTATTTGTCGGTGACCCCTGCAAGTTTCAAAAATGTTTAATTAAACTATCATTATTATAACTATGTATGGTAGCTGCATTTGACAATCAAATGTTTTTAAGTGGAATAATAATCCTTGTGGTCACATTTATGGATGCAAAAGGTCATTGAGGAAGAGAAAAAATTTTTTTTTCTTCCCTCCATAATGTCTTTCTCTTCAAAAGCTAAAATTTTTAAAGAATGACTGCTGTTTTATCCAATATTAGCATTTATTATTCCAGGCACAGGCCATGAGCATGTATTATACTGGTTTCAAATTATCTTTCCTCTCAACCCATCCCCCACTTCAAAAAAGAATTCTTGCATGTGTTTATGGCTGTGTTTATGTTACACAGGTGTTAATAACCCTGTTGCAGAGAACATAGATAGGCATCTTCAGGTAGATGTGTATATAAATTCCTCTCTACTGGCACTTGAGTTAGCCAGAAACAACAATAAATATCAGTGATGTCCTTCAAATCTGTCAATTTAAGACATAACATTTTTTTCTTCCAATATCATGAGAGTCCAATGATTTTGAAAAGGAGGAGTTAATTTAAAGTTTTTGAAAGCTTTGTTTTCTTTCATATCTAACACACTAAATATGTGGTTAGAAAACATGAAAAACTTTAAGCATCATATTTACATACTTTAATGCTTGAGCATTAATGTATATTCTTGAAATATATCTATAGATTTGACTGCAAGCCAACTAGCTGATCAGTGAATAAAATAACATTAATAAAACCAAAGTTCAACTTTCTCATAAAAGGACATACAAAGAATAATACAAAAGTAAATTTCCTGTGTTTACTGTTTTTTTGTAATTTCCTCTGAAACATCCACAATGTTATGTCATTTTAGTTATACTGTCAAGATCAAATAAAAATTGATTTCTAATTTAAAAAAAATCTTAGAAATACAATGCATTTTTTCTTTATATAAACAAGAATATACTTAAATATTGAAAGCACATAATCTGATCACTGCTTTCCTTTGCATGGGTATTTAATATATAAACTAACTCAGAACACTGTTGAAAAGGAGAGGCTAAAAAAAAAGTTACCAGTAAGGTGATTTTATTACAAACAAAATAAAGTGGTATTGATTTAGCAAAGCTTCCACTGGTATTCAGCAGTTTCAGGGAAAAACAAGGGAATTCAACCTGCAAAGATCTCCTACTATGAGACTGACAAAATCGGGCCTAAGAATAATGCATACAAAAGAGTAAAAAGTTACTCTTCATTCAATTAACCATTTGTATTTGTTTCTTCAAAGTGAGCAAATCACCTAAAATAATTTAAAGTTAAAATGACAACTTGGGTTTTGTATTAGGTGTTTACATGACTTAAATCTATTTATTTACATTTTATTTTGCCTTTTAGAAAATTATATTTTCCACTTATGAACACAAAATTATCTCACTGGAAATTTTAAAAGTAGATATAACAAATACATTGCACATTTTTTAAAAGTAGATATTTCATGAAATATGATTTTGAGTCTGGATTAAGTTTAACTGTTCTTGATAAGCAAAATCTATATTGGAAAATATGTCTTTCTAAATGATAAGATAAATGCACCAAATCCATTATTTGGCTTGAAGATGACAATATGAAAGAATTCTTTAAAAGTATTCTAGTAGATCCTTTCCATATAATTCACCTTATTATGGGAAATATCAACAGATTCTTTCCACATATTTACATGTTCAAGTTACTTCCTGAGTACAAATCCATTTCTGCTGTTAATTTGTCTCATTTGCACTTAGTCTCCACTATATATACATCTTGTAAGATACACAAAAAATAAATAAAATTCTCCTGGGTTTTATAAGATCATGAAATATGTTGCAGGTAATAGTCTTAGGGCATTTCATAATAATATTACATTTATACCTTTTCTGAGTATGCTTTGACCTGTTTTACTGTGGAATAATACAGAAGTTAATAAGTTTTTACTAAGTAGTGATTGGGTGTAAGAAGTGGATATATTAGAAGGCATGTTATAAGGGTGATAAAATCATGGTTCTATTTTCCTCAGAGACTACTAGAATCATTCAGCCAGTATCAGAATCAATAATTTCTTGTAAGAATTTAGTTTGGAATTATTAGATGATGAAGAAATGATATGGTTTGTTAGTGAGGATAAGCCATTATTTAGTAGTTCAAGTATAATAAAAATAGTTTTCTAAAGTTTATATCCAATATTGTTTCTCTAGAATTAAATAAATGAACATATTTCTTGGTAATAAACTTATAAATCACTGTGCTATTATAATATAAACAATATAACCAAAATTTCAATGATTTAAAAATATGTCTGTTAATAAAAAATAAGAACATAGAAATCACTTAATAAAGCTGTTTATTGTTTTTTACTTTTTTGTTGTATGTAGATTTCTAAAATGTAATGGCACCTGAATTCAAAAAGACTTAATTTTTTATAAAATAATCATATACTTCTCTTACAAACGATCAAAATACTCAATTAAAATAAAACATTATTAGAAAAATTAATGACTGAGTTGATTTTAATACTTTAAAAAGAGGATGTCTGTCAGATTTTAGATGACCTGAACTGATACTTTGAGTGATTTAAATTTTTTTGAATATGTAAATTATGCTAGATTGGAAATTTACTATTAAAATACTGTAGCTTAAATTTAAAGTCTTGAAAATACTTTAGAAATGCTACAGAGTCAAACGTACTCTGAGTTACATTTTCATGCCTCTTACACTAGGAAAAAGGAATCAAACTAATTTGGAATTAAGCTATTTTAGAAGTCCAAGTGAAACCTGTTAATTATATATAGAAGAAAAGGCCTCCAGAATACCTGACCAGTACCACAAATGATGACTTACTAAAACTTAATAATGAGAGCTTTGTCTCCAACATAAGACATATGATTTATTAAGCACCTTATCCTTCATGCTAGGAGTCATTGCTAAAAGCAAATGAGCAGAGCATATTAAGCAACGTATATTATAAAAGCATCCATGTGTCATTAAGATTTGCTACAATCTGACTTTTCAAAGAATATTTGCTTTGAGATATGAGGAAGTTTTTAATTAAGTGTGTAATAAAACATGTCGATTTTAAGTCAAAGCAGATTGTAATTTTTAAAATAGTGTTTTAAAAGTTCTTGCATTAGAAAGTTCTCAGCTTTTTCCAGCTGATTAAATTTGTTGGTAAAATTTTTAGTCTTCAAAATTAAACATTCAATGTTATTTTCCTTTGAATATTTAAGGATAGTATATTAACCTTTAGTTTTTACGGAAATATTTAAAAGAACAAAATCCCTTGTAAAAGTTTTTTGAACTGATAAACTCTTATTATTATTGTCAGAGAGAATTTGGGGTATCAATTTACTATTTGATATTGTCGACATTTAAAAACTACCCTAAATTTCCAGCATTGAATAAAACATAATTTAACAAAAATTATTCACAAATATTATTGCTACTTACAAAAATTCTCAATTATATATTTTACCTCAAATAAAAGAAAAATTATGTATAGGTAAAGGTTATCAAAGCATGATTCACATGTCTCTTGTCTGTGGAAAAAATCAAGTAGGTATGATATATTTTCATCATTATAGTTAAAAAAATGTTAGGTTACGGCTTCTTTTCTAAAATAGTTTTCATAGAATTTCAGAATTGCATCCCAGATTCTTTGATAGTAATATTTAATAGTATTATTTGATCTTGGTTAATTTCCTATCAATATTTTATAGTAATTGCTTCACCTACATGAGAGTTTTTAAGTAGTACATGAAAGTATACGTTCTTTAAATTTCCAACAACAACAAAAAAAATGGTTCAGGATGTTACTTTTACTTTCCCACATGTGCTTGTTTCTTTTTCTTTTTCTTTTTTGCCTAAAGCATTTATCCTCATAAATTTCCCTTTTTTAGACTATGGCCTTTTTCTTCATATATTTAAGCAAGGTTGAAATTTTAACAAGCTCTGAAGAGACCCAAATCTACCCAAACTATAACTTTAATTCTAGCATTTCACATTAAATATATAGATATAGACATGACTTTGTTGCCTAAAGGAAAATCTTACCTTTTATCAGTGAAAGAAAGGAAACAGAAGCTAGAGAGAAGAGTTACAGAAAATGACTTTGTATAAACACGGCCACCTACCAAGCAGCTACTTTACCATTAGGAAAACTTCCACTCTGTAATAACACAGATTAAAAAATAAATGAACAACATACCTAAGTTGACAAAGCTCATGACCATGTCGGCATCGTTCAGAAAGTTGGTGTCATGTAGGCTGGCTAGAGGGGGGCTCTGGGTGGTCAGAGGAGCTGTTCGAGATAACTGTATGCGACGAGGATATCCATTGGGAGATGCTGGGTATCCTTTTCGTGCCCCTCTGGTTTCTCCTGCCAGGGATGCCCTCACGGAGTATTCTGACTCTTCAGGATTTTCTTCATTGGTCATGGCATTGTACAGGTCCAGCATAAAGAGAGGCGCAGAGGATGCTTGTTTTCCAGGTGAAAAGGGTCTGGGTCTGTGAGGCAAACCCAAGATAGAGAGAATTTCCCTCTGTATTTCCCGTCTTTCATGGTTCCGTAGTCTTCTATAAATAAAACTGGAATGAACATGATTGTCTCCCAAACCTCCTTTTGCATAACCCACTAGAACCCAGCAGCTCCAGAGGAAACCCACAACACCCCTAAGTAAAAATACAGTCAGATGCATTTTTGTCCAGAAGCAAAAGTTGATATTTTTAGTCCTTCTTGTCCTTGTTCTTAAAAAGAAATCTAAGTTGCTAGGAGGTACACTTTCCCAGTAGCTGTAAAAACAAATTTACCTATCTTCATGACAGTGACATTTCTGAACACGACATCCTCACTGATTTTCCTGTCCTATTTTAAATATTTTGGAATGTGTCAAGAGTAGTTATTTCTAGGAAAGCTGAAACTCAGATTTACAGTTATCCACAGTTGCTAAGAGTTTTTGCTGCATTGATGGAGCAGAAGACGGCCAATATTATGTGATCAGATGACCTATGCATTCCTATATGAATTTATGATAATCAGGCCTTTGGTATTTGAATTAACGGAAGCTGATCTTCTGATAAACTGTAGTTCCCAAGTTATCTTCACTTGTTCTGGAGTTCTTCTCAACCCTTGAGCTCTTTCCAAGACAAATCCTGATTTCTGAATCACAGATCTATGCTGATCTGCACCTTGGTGTTGGAATATATATTTGTCCGGCAGCTTGGTGATAACTTTAACATCTTTTGTATCGTCTTAGTGTAAAATAAGACTCAAGGTTGTACTATTCAAGTAAATGTGTTTCCCTGAATTTACTTGAAATCCTTCCTGTAAGTCCATTCAATCCCTTTCTCCTTCTTACTGTTAATTCCACCTCCAGCAGGCACAAATATACCAGCCCTCTTCCAGAGAGATCTAAAGAGTAGTGTAAGCACAACCCTGCTGGGAAAGAAGAGGCTTCTCATTGTAATTTGAAACTGGTAAAGCAAAAAGAACTTAACCCTTTTGCTACCAGAAAAGCCTCCATTTTCACAATTTTATAACCACACATCTAACATAGAACAGTGATGTATGGGACATACGAGTTCCAGGGGGAATAAAAGCTGGTTTTTCAAGTAGCGAAGTTTCTAAAAACTTTGCCACCCACTTTATATAGCACTCCTTTAGAGCTCTCTGTCTTTTAAGGGCACACATTTAATACACTTCTACATTAAGTCTCTGGTTGTAGCTAATTTAACATGATATGTCTCAGTTCTATATGAGATTATTTCTAGCTTTTTAAAAATCATTGATGTATTCTTCTTTTAAAAAAAGTAAAAGAACAGGTTGAAAATTGGGGTTAATTAGTTGTTTCTAAATGATAGCTAGACTTTTTTAAATGCCACAGTAGAAATTTAATCATTTGTAAATATATCTCACAAAATAGTTGTTACACTACTTCAGTAGATAACACAGCTCTAATAAGTGTCTTTACATATCAAATTTTTAAATAGAAAAGTATAGCCATATTTCTCTTATTAAATCAGTACAGTTGAAACACATATATCCTAAGATGTTGTATCATGGTTCTTAACTTGTTTCAGTTGAAATGTAGACAGTCTTACAAACTAGATATTTCCCATAAATATTTCTCAGAACTTTAATTTATTTTAACCCATGCAAATAAACACAAGTCGGCTGGGATTTAATATTCTTCATGACTACATGTAGATTGAAATTTGAGTTTCTAAAATTTGATGGGTAAAATGGGGAAAGTGTACACCTTTCTAAAATACCATACTTAATCCAAGGAAATGAGCAAAGTATGTGTTTATCCTTAATGTTTAATGCTTTTAAAATTTGGAAGTCTACAATATTTTTGTGCAGCTATAATTTTCCTCACAAGCACTCACTTAACCTTAGGACTCACAGTACTTTCATTGTCTTGAATAGCATTCTGATACCAACATAAATTTATTGAGCAAATTCTAGAACTGTTATGAAATTTTAATGTTTTTCCTTTACCTAGAGGCGCCTGGTTTCTTGTTTAATTTCTTTTTACATATTTCCTCTGAGTGTATAAAGAAAAGTCATATTTCTCACAAGTTTTCAGATTATTGGTAAATGCAAGATGCTGAAAGGGCTTGCAGAATCTTATTGTGTGCATCATTTGTCTTATACAAACTCATGACACTAAAACTCAATGATGCTGTGTGATATGTGCCTTGCTGAAAATTTTTTTTTTAGTAATAATCATGCAGGATGCCACAGTAGCAGCGATTGCAAAGAATACTAGAAGTATAGATTGGAAGTAAGTGAAGAAATACTATTTCAACAACAATAAAAAAATGGTTTGAACTACTTAAATCCTTGAAATAGTTTATTTAATATGCAAATCAAACTAATAATTTCTTGTCTTCAACAGAGATTCAGATAAGCTACTTTAAAAGTAAAATATTTCTCTGTATTTATAAGACATATCCCAGATATTGTAGGTTACCCTTTTTTCCTGTGTTTTAAAATAAATTATCAATGTTATCAATTTGCTTCATTTTTCTAGGGCTAAGCATGGAGTTATAAAGTTAAAATGCACCACACTAGAGAAAGAAATCATTCTTATTATCTTCCATATGTGGTGGTTTTCCCTAAAATACATGTAAAAAATAAAAATGAGATTAGGTGTCACAAGTCTCAAAAAGTCATTTTCCCAAAGTATGATTTATGATATCAATTGGTATAATTATAACTTAATCACTTACCCAGGCACATAGTCTTCCTTTTTGGAAATCAGTTGCTACTATTCTTGGTCACAAGTTTTAGTGTTCACCCTCCCCCTACCTTCCCTTCTAACTTAAGACTAGATTTGGCAAACACTCATTTTTTTCCAAAAAGATCAACATGTGCAATGAGGAAAAGAAAATAAAGACAAAACCTTCCAGGAATAAAGGGGAAATGCTAGTGCCTAAACAAAATGTCTGATTTGGTTTTTATGAAAAGTAAATGCCTTTAACCATATCATTTGAATTTCTAGGTAGGATTTGTATCTTAGTATAAGAAAGGAAATTGAAAGATAAAATATTTTGTCATTGCCAAGTATAAACATTCCAAATTTTAAAGCATGTATTTTGATATTAGACAAGGAGTTAAACCTATTGAATAATCATATGCAGGAGAAGAAAGGTGAAGACTAAAGACAACCCAGGTCATCACAAGACTTGTTCTTAAAGAAAGTACACTTCAAGAAGAGAAATCTTAGTAAAAATCCACCCCTCACAATTTAGTTTTTGCCTGGGTCTATACTAACATAATGACCTTCTGGCAAGAAGCAGAGACAATGGAATCCACATAGGAAGTATTCTCAACTCATTCTTTCTGTTCAGGTTTCTTTTTCTCATTAAAATTAGACACATTTATTCCATGGATATAGAAATCAACCATGTCCAATTGACAAATTTCATTTTTTTTTCTAGCTTTTTCAAAAGACACTAGCTCAACAGGAATTTGAGTTGATTACTAGTCTGTTTTGTTCTAGAAGGTTCTTCCTATTTCACTTCTAGTTTGTTGTTGTTTGCTGGTGTGTTGTTTTCTCCTTGAAACAAAATCTCCCTTCAGAAAATAAGACTACACCAAATTCTAGAGATACCCAATGTAAATGGTATTTGAATTCCTAAAGTATCTCTCAAATTTGGAAAATAATACAAAACCATTATAATATGATCATAAAATTTTTAAGCAGAAGCTAGCTATCTTGAGTTACATTGAGTGGGTAAGGCAAAAAGGTGGAGATGAAGCTGCTCAGGAGGTTGAAGAGGCTGGTAGCAATGGAGAGAGCAGGGAAGGTAGCCCCTTCTGGAATCAAGCTGGTGAATGCAGCTGCACGGGCATAACAGAGCAGCATCTGTGATATTAAATTGCCTTCAGTTCACTCTCTTTTTAAGCCAAACGTATAAACAGAGGATGGTGTGTACTGCAGTGGTCCAAAGGAAGGCAGAGCAGAGCTACAACACCACCATCTGACTTAGATTTGCTTCTCCTCCATTTGATTACTAGCTGTTAAAGAAAACCTGGAAATGAATAGTAAAAATACTCACCAAAACTTTGGAATGTTTGGTATTATTTTTAATGAATGGTGGCATTACTGAGTAGTTTTAAGTGAGCAGATGACTTTTCAAAATGCTTTGAATTATTATGTGTTTTTAAGATTTTTTTATATTACTTTATGAGTAGGTGTTCTAATAATTACTTATAGAGAATAAAGCAATATTCAATCATTAAAAATTCAACACTATGAGAGGACCACCAGTCTAGTGACTATATCCAAAAGTAGACCCCAATTAGCTCACCCCAAAATATTGGGTCAGTTTGTTTGGCAAGATATTTCATCCATCATCCATAGCAACAGATTTTAAATAATTAGGTAGGCTGATCAGTAAGCAATACTGTAGTCATTTGTGAAACAATATCTTCATTTGTAGAGCACTTTGTAATTTTAAAAATTAATTCACAATAATCCAACATTTGGGATTATTCATTAATTCATTTATTCATTCAAGAAACATTTATCATATGCTTGTGATGAAAATATTACATACTACATACTTCAGATAGGACAACAAACTCACAAGGTTCATGTTGTTACAGCTTTATAATCATACAGAATTATCTTTTCAATTGATTAAGGGCATAGAATTATGTATTTATTAATTAAAGTATATTTATACTTTTTTCCCTTCATATGTTAGCTAGTATGCAAGCTGAATGAAAACAGGGGCTGAATTTATTTTGTACATCAATATGAAATATATTGGGAGCTCAATGTTTGTTGAATAACTGATTTTTTAACAAAGATGAACAATATTACAAGGGATCTTTTTAACAACAGTTCTCTCTAGTAGCACAGTTATATGGATTCACTAAGTTTACAAGTTGATGGAATGCTGTATCTCTTAGTTGCTAGGTTTCCCCAACCTATTAAAGTTTCTAAACAAACAAAACTTGCTTATCATAGGTCTTATCCCATGGTTATACAATTACAAGCTCCTATCAATAGGAGACAACTGTCATGACTCAGAAGGAAAAGTATTATACAATAAGTTACATCATCAATTGCAAAATCTATTGGTCTATTATTATGGGAAAACCCTATACTGAATTAAAGTTACCCCAGACCCATATGAGCAATGTCTGTTCCTGTCTGTTAATACCTCATTCCTTGAATTACAATGGATTTTTTATGTGTTGTGTTTTATTTTGGTGGCACTTTAACAGCCCATATTATAATGCAAGAAGCCCTGAAAATGAAGACTTTTTTTAAACAAACTTTAGCAATTAACAGCATACATGCTAAAGCTGAACAGAGAAGAACTACACAATAAACTCTGGTGTGGGAGGTGGGGTGGGGCACATGGGAAAAGGCCCCAAATAAGGCATGTAGAGTACCCAAGTTCTTAAACCCACACTTTTCATACTTTTCACTTGTGCAGATGGCTGACTCTAACTACAAGCATCTGAACAATAAAAACCCACAGAAATGCAATAGTTCAGTGAAAGGCACAATTACCAATTTACTCCATAATTCCCCAGCAGCAAGGTGATCACCAGTAGAAAATAAAATCTATGTCACTAATCATATGTTCAAAATGAGACAATTTAAAGGAAGATTTAAAACTATCTGACACAAAATTGTTTTGATCCCATGCTTACTATTATTTGTAACATTTTAATCAAAGGGTTCTACTAGCATATTTTGTCCCATGAAACAGACAATATTTCATAGAATCTTCTCCAGAAATTGCAGAATAAATTTAGAGCCTAACAAATTAGTCCCAAATACATGATAGAAATTGTCCATTAGCAATAAAAAGAGGTGTATTTACTCATGATCCATTAATATTCTGCAACATTAAAAGGATATGACTCCGTTTCTTAATACTTAATACTGAGGAA